GTATATATCCTTTGGTATATACATATATGTATAGGATCTGTATCCAGTCAATTTAATTCAGCGGTCTCTTTTCACTAGTATTTGGGAAGGTGTGACGGCCCGCTTTCGCCACGGTCCCCACCCATGTTTCTGTGGTGAAATTGGAACAAAGGTCGTAGGCTTTCCTGACCTGATCCACACTTACTTGGCAACTTTCGAGGAGTAAATGATGCGGTACTTGTCGGGATGGCCAATCTGCAAGGTTTGACGCCGAAGGCACCCGGCTGAACCATGGTACGATGCAGTACATGTCAAGGTATGTTGCAGTGAATGCGCAAATGGTAGTGATGGGTCTTGAACGAGAATATCCACGAATGAGTGCATATTTGGCTCCCTCATTGTCAGTGTAAATCATCACACGCATCGAAGAAATTTTTTCATGCCAGAGAAAAATTGATACCGCAACGGCAAGCGTCTCAAGCTCCCCAATGATCTGTTCACGACCTTCCGTGAGAAATGGGCTGAGCCGTTGCAAGTCAAGCCAAATGGAATACCAAGATACAACGGCACCGTGCTCGTTAAGTAGCACCCCACCAAAGCCTGCTCCCGAAGACGCATCTGTGAATAAGAACATGGTCCGCAGAAGGTTAGAACTCAAGCTCCTGGGCCCACCTGATGAGATCCGATGCCTTAAAAGAAGCAGCGAGTCCAAGGTGACATCCTCCAAGAATGAACTGAATGGGGCGCGGTAAGCATGTTGGGTTATAGACTGCAATGCAACTCTTCCCAAACGACCGAAAACAAAAGCGTCACAAAAAGCTAATCGCCCTCTCAGCCTGAGGGCGTCTTTCTTAGATAGGGCTTTCTTTACCAGCAAATCGTCAATGCACTGAACCACTTCCGCAATACGCTTCTCGGTATTTGTCACTAGCAAAGTTCCATCCACGGTTCTCGCTAAGTTAAAAATCACGCCCAGAGCTGATACCATTGAAGAGAAGTCGTCGCTCTTAGGCCCCATTCGGTCAAAGGCCCACCCCAGGACATCCAACATCAGCATCAGTGATGATTGGGAATTGGATGTCAACTCGGCAGGCGAAAAGGCCACGAAGTCGTCATAATAGCAAGTGAGAGGCAGAATGAGACACCGGGCTGCGACCCACTGTAAAAAATCTCGCACACCTTATGAATGCATTCACTGCAGCCCGTGAACCAAATGGTAGAGCAAGCTGCTGAAAAAGCTCTGCTCGATTGAACTCTGGGCGGTATACTGAAAGGTATGCAAATCGCAACGAGCCATCACTGATTGGGATTTGTCTGTAGGCAGACGCTAAATCCAGGGCACGACCAAGCAACTGAGTGGAACGTCCATTTGAAGCCAAGCACCTCATCAAAAATACAGCGGTAGCGCAAATGACATCTGCCCCGTCAACCGTCGCTTGTTCCAACAAGGTGATGGATGAATTTATTTGACTTTGTGAGTAGTCGTCTATAGGACGTACCTTCTAGCTGCTAGATTGCTGGATAGGGAATCTTCTCGACACCGCATCGCCTTCGCCAAGAGCTGACCAGGGCAACGGCCCAGCCAGACAGCCCTTCTGCGCCTCTTCACATGTTTTTTGCCATAGGGCCTCATCAACAGCAGCATCGCCACAACTTCGAGTCAAAAAAGCTGCAAAGCTGTATTGGATTTTTCTGTCCGACTACAAAGTTCCTCGATCGAAATTGAAGCTGGCACCATCTTACGCGGGAGCACATTGGATGTGGGGACTTCGCCCACGAGGCTGAACCCATTTCCAAATCGTCAGCAAGAGTACAGTCATCGTAGGACTCATCCCAAATAATTTCTCTCATGAGAAGCAGGCGTTTGGAAGATAAGATGCCAGCCCGGCCCGGGGGCATGGATGCTTTGAGGCGTTCCTCGTCCAATTTCAACGCACGCATGCGCCTGACCCAAGTTCCAAGCTTGGAACATCGCAAGTTAACTATGTCATAGCTTTGCATAGACGCCAACTTTTCGCACGCCGTCCTGACCTCAGGAAGCAATCCAGAAAACTGCTCGAAAGGGTGCCCTGCCATCACGGCTTGCTGGAGAAATTCAACAGGCTTCCATCTTACTCCAAAAACAAAGTCACAGCTGCCATCTGTAGAGCAAGCTTGGGCAGGGAGGTCAATCCACAAGGGTGGAATTGCACTTGTCACACACTTCCGGTGTGCTTCCAGAAAAAGTTGAGGGCAGCAGAAAGTCCGATACGTCCCCAAAGATCTGAAGGGACATGGTCCTTTCAATTGAGATCTTGGTAAGACGGTTCTCTCCCCCTTTCACTGTGGTCTTACGTAAAAGCTTGCTGCCGCATGGAATCACAATTGTGTGAGAATCCTGAATGATGGACACGCATGTGGCTGTGGCACCATCATTTATGTCAAATGAAAAACCTTGTGGAAAATTGCGACAGGCCAAAATGCATGAAAATTCTGGAACAACTGGCAAAGCTACATTCCTGGAAGGCTGCTTTTGGGAGGCAAGCGACTGAAAGTGGGACAGCTTCATTTTTTGCTGTGAACATGCGCATTTGTGACATGAAGGGATTGACAAATGCCTTCAATCATAACGGATGCCAACGCTTGTGCAAGGGCAGGAGTGCATTCAGCTTCTAACGATGTGTCGAAAACACCATTCTGCGTGACACAGGAATTATTGCTTGCGAAACATGACCTCTTTAAACGTTGGCCTCCATACATGCAGTTATGCACTTCTGCGTAGAAAGGGTTGAACCTGAAGTCCAGGGATTTTTAACAGTCCAGGTGAAAATCCCTAAGTTCCTGCAATCTTACAATGAGCTTTTCCATGAAACTGTACAGGCGGTTTGCTGCACGAACACGCTGCAAATTGGCTCCTGATAGCGAAGGCAAACCATTTGGCCACTGCGGGGTTCTCAAAGGTGGCGGGCCGTGGTGTTTCTTATTCATTCGTTTCAGCCTGGCCCTACTACTGGTTCCGCAGGGGACACCAAAGCGTACCCAAAGACAGTATTGTGAATCACACCAAGAAAAATTAGGTCTTGATTTTCTGGCTTGGTCAGATCAAGACAAACGATCTTCACTCTTTGTTTGCCAACTTTGTGATCAACACCAAAGCTGTCGGGAAAGAAATGTTTCATGGCAAATGTCAGGTTACCTGATCCACAAAACAGTTCCAAGCAAAAATATCCAGGCTCACCAAGCTGAGGTCTCACACCCCTGTCATTTTGACAAGGGCGTTCATTGATGCCTGGCTGCTTGCGTTTCAAATTCGGCGCACATGGACTACGAACACGTGGACTTCTTGATGAACTGGGTGAAATTGCATTGTTTCCAACCAGATTTCACTGGTGTTCAATGTGTGGGTGTTGCTTGTAGCAACCTGGTACACAGCAGACATGCTCTCGTGTGCACTTTGCTCCTGCCTTGCAAGAACCCAAGTTATACGCAAAGCATATGGGTAGCCCTTTGGGCGTCCTGGAATGCATGCCTTGCAATGCAGCAGGCATCGGGTCTCTGGCTTTTTGCTTCGCCTTTCCTGAACCTTTACTTCCTTTTTTGGACCATTTTGGGGCATCACCATGCTTTGCAACCTGCTGCTTACGCTTGGCAACTTCAATGGAGGATGATGCCTGCTCTTTGGACGATTGCAAACTGGCATGGGGTAGCATCAGGTATGTGACTGAAACATCATTCTCAAGCTTATCGATGAGGGGTTCAGTGAACCAGTGAAGTTCTCTGACATGCGAATGAAACCCTGCCTATCTGCTCTTAATGCTGCGCTATGGCTGAAAACCTGGGGCTGGCACCTGTGAATACATGGCAAAGAGTCTGTCCATCCATTTGTTCATTACCTCAAATGATGCAAGACCTGCCAGCTCAAATGCTAACGACCTCCTCTGAAGTGCTTGACAAAGAGCCAAGTCCGAACTCAGGTTGAGCTCTGGATGCGAAGGTTTCTCCTGCACAACAAGTCCTGTCTTCGATGCATCAAGTTGCAACTCTTTTTCCGGCTTTGATCCACTCAACTCCTGCTGCCTGGATAGACATCTATTTGGATTGATGTAAGCAATCTGGTTTTTCTCAATCATCTCAAAACACATGTAAGGGAATGGGCTGGTTCGAGTGGCCCTGATATATCTATGCCTCTTAGGCTTTGTCTCATACGCATCCCTCTCAGGCTGAGGCATGCGTTGAGGGCCCTGCTCATCACCCTTCACTGCCGAACGCGCATTCTGGATCATGATGGTTTGGGATTCGAACAGCAACCGTTTGAACGCCGCCAAATCTGAAATTGTTGGGTTGACACCAGGGCGAGTAGTGGTCAAGAAGGTGTTGACCTGTGCATCGGTTGCTGTCTCGCCTGGAGTTGTAATGGCAAAACTAAGTTTGGCAAAGGCGGCATCGACAAAGGGCTCACTAAGGCCTCCATCGGTCGCCTTCTGCACAAACGTGGCCTCTGAGTCTAGGAGCGACGTCATCGACATGGTTGGAAATCTACTAGTTGATGTTCAACAGGCTTTCCTGTGTGACAAGCAAAGGGGAAAAGGAAACGGATGTTTTATTTGAATTGCAATTAAACCTTGCACACTGTATCGTGAAGCGGATGCTGTCATCCAATCAAAGTTTTGGACCCCTCCATCCAGCAAGATGCATTACCAATTGGATGCTGTCATCCAAGTTGAATCCTTTGAGCCAACAACAAAGAAAAACTAAGAATTGCGCAAACAGCTGACTGTCTGACATGGCCTTTGCCGCTCCTCTGTCTGTGTTACGTTTTGGTTGGCTGTCCAACCGTTATGAATCATGGCTTTCCAGATTCTAGCTGCTTTCAGCAAATCAAGTCTCTCTTGATACCAGGTTTCACGCTCTCGCGACAAAAATTGAAATTGTCAAAAAATATCTTCCAACTATCTAAATGGGAGAATTAAGGAGGCATCCACTCCACTGCCGGGCTTTCCCGATAAAAAGACATGAGAACCTACACTCTCACTGGCAAACTTTCACTGCCGCCTAGCACGCGTCTTCAAGCCTGCATCGATGATGTTAACCATCCCTTCACGAGAGGCGATGACCTCTCCCTTGAAACAACTACTGCAACGTGCACGACTGGAAGAACAACCATCTGCAAAATATTGAAAACGTCCCTCGTCAATCGATCTCCCACAGACAGTGGCATACGGCTCGGCCGAACACTTATGCACGACGCCACTCTTCTTGTTGGCCCACAGTGGGCCTGGGATATTGGCAGGCGTCGACGGAACAACCAGGTGATCATTCCGATGAGCTATCACCACTGGCAGAAGGTATTTCACTGGAGGAATCGGCACCATCAGCAGCAGCATCTTGAGCCGATGACTGCACCTCACCAACTCCAAGCAGCGGACCGACGCCAGAGACCACTGGCTCGGGCACAATGGAATCTGGCGGAGTTGGATCAGGCGCGTTATCAGCATGCTCAGCACGTTCAAGAAATGCGACCAACCTCGATGTCCTGGACTCATCTGGACGGAAGTGGTCATCCCGAATGTTCTGCAACATGGACCCGTACAATTGTAACGGCCCCGACAACATGTCCCTGCTGTAAACCATCAAAGGTTTACTCGACACCTCGTGGTGTCCAAGAAGGGAACGTGACGCTTCTGGCAGTCCGTAAGCTGCGCACCAAGATAATGTTGTATGTTTGAAAGAGTGTGAGGTCACCCTCGAATCAGTTGCGGCGCTAAGAAAACGGTTGGTTCAAGTGGGACTTCTTATTTTTGGTTTTATATAACGCGTTAATATAAAATATGTCTACCTAAAAAACAAACGCCGTGGAAATAAACTTCGAAATAATCCGAACTGCCGCAAAACCGTCAACGAAAGGCTGCTGAGACACTCGCCCCTTTTGGAACTTGCTGAATTGGATCTGAAGCCAAGTTTGGTTAAAAGCTGATGTCACCATATGTTATGGTGAGTATATATATGAATACCTGATGGCAATCTTCCCCCCGACAGTATTTGTACAGAGGAGCCATATGGGAGGTCTTCGTGTAAACTGCGGTGTAGGATACCACGGTAGAGTATTAGAAATACTCAGGAGTGCAAAAAAGCCAAAGGCCGCTGGAGAGAAAAACTGTACATATTTGGGTCACTCAAAGGTCTTGACCAGCATCCTTAAAAGGATAGAAAAGAATAACCACAGCGTTTATTGCAGAAGCAACAACAATAAAGTCGAATCCCTTCATGGTGTGGGTGGGAGGGAAAAAGAAAAGCCAATGAAACAAGAAGTCCCACTTGAGCCAAAATGTTTTGGTGGAATATAATAAGTAAGATCCCCTCAAAACATATTCGAACAAGTACGAAAAACGTTCAAGTGGGACTTCTTATTTTTGGTTTTATATAACGCGTTAATATAAAATATATCTACCTAAAAAACAAACGCCGTGGAAATAAACTTCGAAATAATCGCCCCTTTTGGAACTTGCTGAATTGGATCTGAAGCCAAGTTTGGTTAAAAGCTGATGTCACCATATGTTATGGTGAGTATATATATGAATACCTGATGGCAATCTTTCCCCCATTATTACTATCAGGTATGAATAAAATACGCCAGGAATACCCCCAATATAAAAGCGATTTTATTCAGCAAGTTCCGTTTGGAAGGGACCATGAAATAAAAGCATTGGGTGGATGCAATGAAGCGTTGCGAAATGAATGCAACAGCTGTTTTAATTCAAAACGAATTCTGTGCTCGGGAAGGATGCCGGCTGGAAGATTGTCATACTGCGTCAATCGAGATAGGGTGTCAGCTAAGTCATTCTTGGCACCTGCGATGTGACTGACATCAAGGTCGATTCCAGTGATTGAGGCCAATAAACATAAACGTTCCAGAAATAGGCATTGAGGAAGCTGAGTGGAAAACAGTGCATTAGAGCCTGCCTCTGCACCTGTGTTATCTGAAAGGCTATGGATGCAAATCGGATAACGGCAGGATGGAAAATGCTGTGACAAAAGGGTCACAACAGCAATCTGGGCTAATGTTTCATAGCTGACAATGTCACGCTGCATATTGGAATTGACAGGAATTGATATGGATTGAAAATCATTCTGAGTAAATCGTTCTGAAAACCAATAGGTGATCTCTGATGTCACTACCAGGAAACCACCAATTTGAGCAATGTCGCCATGTGCACAAGCATCTGCTGCAGCAGTATGTGGCCAAATCTGTTTAGGCCACATAGTTCGAAGAGGTGGCAGAAAACGAATCCATTCCTTGTAATAAGCAAGCATACGCACTGAATCTTCACATAACTTTCGTTTCGATGATTCAGGATCACGCACTCGGACCCATAGTCGCTTATCTGATAGGAAAACATGTCGAACATCCTCCAGTGTTTGTATCGTTTTATGTCTCATTTCCAATAACTTGCTACCCGGCGGGATAGCAGTACCAGGAGGCTTTGATGTAAAAATCAAATCTGCATTCAAACAATTGCGAAATTCCAGCAGTTGACTTGGGTCCAGGCTGTATTGCGTGGCTGGGATGCTATGAAGATCCCTGAAAAGGTAATGCAACCAAATGCGCAGATACGGAAAAAGTTGGGTGAGCCATAGCATCAGCCCTAAAAATTTTTGGAGCATTTTCACTGGAACTGTCCTGTGACGCTGGAGTTGAGAAATCAAATCCAGTAACTTCTGACATTTATCCGGGTGAATCATGATGATTCCAGAGACAAAACAAAAACGCCATCCAATCCAGTTGATGGTGTGGGACAGTTCACATTTACGCCAGGAGATAGGAAGGCCAATGGCTTGGAGGAATAAAATCCACATGGCTGCTGTAATAGGGAGGATCATTGCATCTTGTGTAAATATGAAGTCATCTACATATAGCATGCCTGCATGCGCCAAATAAGCAATACGATGCATGAGTCGTAAAATGAAACCTCCAAGTCTTCCCCACCAGTGAGCGCTGAATGAAGCTCCAAATGGGCAAACTCGATACACAAAAATTTTGCCTTTCCATGAAAAAGATACCAATCCTCTTTCCGCAGGTCGGAGCTTGACCAGTTTGTGCGCTGATTTGATGTCAACGCACAGCCCCCACAAAGTACATGAAGAATTCCTTAAAGGATAGCAGCGAATAGCATCCTTGGCAGAGGGGAGTCCTCCTTTCTCTGGTATCAAGCAATTCTTGTTCAAGCCGCAAATAGTGCTATCTACCACCAATCTGGGTGGTCGCGAAGGTGATGTGGCCACCCCTAGTTTGCCAATTGAAATGCCCTCTGGATATTCCTGTTGAAAATCTGTCAATGTACCCTGATAAGGTTCCAGCCATCCTCGGTCCAGTTCTATTTGAATCAACTCTTCAGTGATCTTCTCGTCATCATGCGCTGATTTCCAACTGGACATATGCACCGATAGCGGTTCATGCATGGCATCATCGTCGGGCTCGACTTGTGCAAAACAATGAGAAAGAGGAATATCATGTTTGAAACCAGTGGGAACTCCAGTGATCAAGTTGCCAAATAAATCTTTGTCCGGGTCATGGACCAATTCAGATAAAGAGGATAAAATGTGCAAAGTTAGCGGTTGGTGTTCTGGTATATCCCAGTCAACATTGAAAGCATGATGTTGCAATAAATCAGTCAGAGAATTGCGCATCATCTGAACCTCTCTGTCATCAAAAACTGGTGAGTTGATGCCGGCCGAAAAATGAGCCAGAATGCGTTTGTGCCAACCCTTTTGAATGATGGTGTTCATCCAGTGCCGTCTGAATGATTGAAATGTATCTTCTTTGAGCGATTGAGGCAAACTCCAATCAGGAGATGACACAAAACCTGCCCCATCCTGGACCGCACATGGTGGGTCAGTGATACCTTTGATGGGAAGCAAAGCCATTACCTGAGGAATAGAGAGGTCTACATTGTTTGAATCAATGATTGGAGCTACTATGTTAGCAAAAGCTTCTGCTAGTTTGCTGGGATATTCTGCTGTAAGGCGGCTGATGTAACGGCCCGACGCATCCTTTTTTCCCATGATATTTTCATGGCTATTACGGTCGTGTTCACAAACGCATCCCAAAACTTTAAGTGGAGGGAAAGAAGTAGCAAAAAGCCAAGCTTTGTTCCAGTTTTTGTCAAAATGACAAGCCGCCAAGTGAATGCAGCAGCAGGCTGCGCTCTGAATCCATTGTTGTGCACAATCTTCCTCCCAGGACATTGCTGTTGGTGGCTGTTCTAAATGGCCATGTCCTCCAGCAGCATACGTCGCTTGAAGCAATTGTGTGCATCTGTAGACCATGACATAGCTGGATTGTACCTTAGACAGCTGCTCTGCGGTCAGTCCAGGGAGTCCCTCCAGGTGTGCCGATGTTCGCAAAGCAGGTGTGCCACCTGGTTTAAGCTTTAGTTTGCTGTATTCCGCACAGCTTGGGGAACATGCAGTGTATGCCACGATGCCACTCGCACACAATCTCAACAGCTGCAAATAAAAAGTATCGTTCAGCAGGTCCATCTCGGAACACAGGAGTATGTCAATTGACAAAACCGTTTTGTGCAGTGCCAACAGTGCCTTAGACAGAGGGCGAGTACTGCCTGCGCACACGTCCAGAAAAATTCGAGGATGTGTAGATCTTTTGAATTCAGGTGATACTGTATCAGCTGGTGAGAAAACTGCGGTCCCTTCAGGGAGTGCAGGAGTGAAACTTGCCGGTGGAGGTGTCGGCTGTGGTGATATATGCTCCTGAGTACTGTCAGTTTGGGGAGCTGCCTCCACTGTTGGTGCTTTGGGCAAAGTGCCCTCCTCAATATGAAAATGCTCATTCATCATCTGTTGCTGATCCGGCGAATCTGCCTTGGTTGAAATGTCGGCTGGCTTGGGCGTCGATGCTGGTAGTCAGTGGGGGGTGGAATCATGTTGAACTGCAGCATGAGGAAGTCCACAAGCTGTCCCGTCGGATTTGGGAACTGCACAGGCATGAAGAAACTTGCAATCACTGAAGGTACATGAATTGGTTTGAAAGCGCATACACAATTGTTTGCGTGCGCCATCAACATAAGCCTCGGTGACCCATTTCACGCCCGGTTTGCCAGATTTTGAACTTCCTTTCTTTCCTTTCTTGCCTGACCCTTTGGGTGCCGACGGAGCTGGTGGTGGTGATATGCCTTTGCCTCCTTTAATAGGTTGGGTAGATCTCGGCAATCGAGGTCGAGCTTGAAGAAGAATTGCCATATCACCACGAACATGAGTCATTTCATGCAAGGCTTGGTCCAGGGTCCAGCCTTTTTCGCTGATGAGCTCTGCGATGATGTGCCACAATTGCTTATCTGCACTTTGGGCTTCCAGAATGGTCGGTGCTCGTAGGCCCGTTTCTGAATCAAGTCTCTGAGTCAAGTGAGACATGAATTTGATACTATACGCTTTCAAGCTGGCCAAGTGCGCCGATTCCACCAAAGCCAATGCTGTGTTGGCCATGTCAAACATGGTTCGAACTGCATTGATGCCCATGCTGGAGTTGTTGACTTCCACTGATGGTGGTTCATCCAACAATAGGTTGTGGAGCTGCAGCCCTTCCAATCGAGGAACTTTGCTGGATCTGTTGGATTGTAAATCCTCCACTCTGGCCTGTGACAGCCTAAATTTCCATGGAATCCATCGATGGTCGCCCTTCTGCTTGTTGTGGAACGCCTGACTGATAAGTCGAGTGCTTGGCATCGTCTCATAGCTGAGAATCTCACTGGGGTAATGCTTACTGAATTTGCTTTTCAGTTCTGTCATTGTTGCTTGTGATATCTTGGCTGGAAAAGATTCCGACCAACTGCCATCTATAAACTGCGCCAATTGATCCTGAATTGGATCACTCGATTGAGCCGGTGCCTTCTGTTGCAACGGTGATTGGCACTTGTGCCACGCAAGTTTCAAGCAAGCTTTCTGCTGAAACGTCAAAGTAACTCCAGTTGCAATTTCCTCTAAATGAGATTCCAAATCATCTGGTGAGCTGGCGCAGATGGCCAAGGTATCGGGTGTCCACCCGGCTGCCACAATTCCCGCCGCCGTGGCAGGGTCCACATTACATTCCAGAAGAATAGATTCCAGTTGGTCTCCCATTGCCAGCTAACGGTGTAAATGAATCAAGATGAGAAAACATTTGGAGGAAGCAAGGTTGCAAGCCATGTGATTCGGAATCACACTCGATCAATTGGAAATGAAATTGGGAAAAACAAGAAAAAGTCATGGAAATGACAATAATGGATCAGATGCCTGATCTTTGAAGCCATGTTGATGCTGTGTGTTTTTTTTTTTGAACCAATCAGGTTCCTACGCCAGCCTAAGGCGTGAAGCCAAACGCCAGTAGGGGGCTTGCCCCTAAATAAAAGCCAAACATTTGTCTGATCATGCCACAACATGTTGCAACGATGCAATGTCCATCACAGTTGACCATGATGCACACGGATATATACATATATATATATATATGTTGGGTATATGCGAACCTGCCCTAATTGTATACTCATATAACCATTAACTGGTATTAATCTTCTTGACTGCACCTCCCTTGGATTTTTTCTTTTTTTAGAAGAGCGACGCGATCAATCTGTTGCAGCCACGGTGATTGCATGCCGTCTTGCCATCCAAAGGGGCGGTGAGGTCCAAAAACGAAATCCTGTCATGGGTAAAAATAAGGCCACACCCAGTCTTGACCGGAGTCTCCAGAAATGTTGCACCATTCTTGATTGGTTTGTCGTTCTTGATCATTGCATGAACTGTATTGCGATGGTGGCCCATGGCAATAGCTCCATTGAAGTCAGGAGTTGTCTCTTCGACCTCTGACCAGCTACCATCGCTTGATGAGTCAGATGACTCCCCAGATTCAGAACTGGAGTCGATGGCAACTTGGTCTGATACTGCATCTGAAATATTCGACACCTGAGCCTCATTCGAATAGAAATGAATAATCTTCCAGGTGTAGTGGGGCATGGCTTTTTTGAAAAGCTCCACTTCCACTGGGGGCTCCTTACAAGGCGCCTGTCCTCCACGGTGTTGCGGTGTAATAGGTCGCCAGCCTTGTTTGACCTGGGCAATTAAACGCTTGTGAAGCTCAAGTTGGCCCCCCACTTCTCCTATACCGACCCAAAGTCTGTATATATATCTCAGTACGCGATACGCCCTAACGTTTCGTCTACGCTTCCCAAACATAAAGGAACCCAAATTAAACAACGCCAAAAACCAAAAACCTCAAAAACATGTCACACAAACGAACTGGAAACTGAATGCAGCTTCAGTAAATAAATGCACTGTCACAAAAACTGAAAATTGCACAACGAATGATTTCACTGGCGCGCCTCACCCTTTTTCCCTTTCGAAGCCTATGCTTGTCCGGGGTAATTGTTCGATTTGTTTCGATGTGACTGCACGGGCAACCCTTTAGGTTGGGCATCGTCCATTCTGGTATCAAGCTTTGGTTTGTTTTCAAAGAAGACCAGACAAGGGATTGATATCCAGCTGGACTGTACCTTTTTCCCCCCCCGCTAAAAGACAATTTCGGGTGGGTAACAACGTTTGGGTGGGACAGAAATTGTCCATGGCATGTAAAAAGGACGCACCCGCCCACCACACCCTTAAGCAGGGACAGCCACACGAACATAAAATTGATAAACACTTTCAACATAAAACAGATACATGTTTCACATGTACAGTGAGACATCACTGGAAAACGACATGTAAAAATAGAAACAGATTTGTGGTTTTGACATTGTTTAGGTTGAGGTTTAAGTTGTTATGTTTGGCGTTGTGGTTTAGCAGGCGCTGGGTTTAAGCATAGTACGCACAGTTAGGGACGCATAACGCAACTACAAAGATATTTTACAGACCGGACTGCAAGTCCTGTTTGGGAGGTTAGAGAGAAAGTATTGTCAGCAAGCTGAAATTCCCTTCTCCTATACCGACCCAAAGTCTGTATATATATCTCGGTGCGCGATACGCCCTAACGTTTCGTCTACGCTTCCCAAACATAAAGGAACCCAAATTAAACAACGCCAAAAAAACCAAAACCTCAAAAACATGTCACACAAACGAACTGGAAAATGAATGCAGCTTCAGTAAATAAATGCACTGTCACAAAACTGAAAATTGCTCAACGAATGATTTCACTGGCGCGCCTCACCCTTTTTCCCTTTCGAAGCCTATGCTTGTCCGGGGTAATTGTTCGATTTGTTTCGATGTGACTGCACGGGCAACCCTTCAGGTTGGGCATCGTCCATTCTGGTATCAAGCTTTGGTTTGTTTTCAAAGGAGACCAGACAAGGGATTGATATCCAGCTGGACCGTACCTTTTTCCCCCATTCATCACAGGACAGCTAGGCAAGGCGTCGAAGAAGTTCAGCAGGGTGCTCAAACTCAGTTACCTGCTGGATTCCAAGGAGGTCCAGGGCTTCTCGGCAAGCGCCCCTCGAAGGGCCATCAGAGACGTTGGATTTGCTGGGAACTCTCTCAATCCAACTATAGGTGGGTGCCAGCGAGTCCATGGCATAAAACTCACGGATCATATCCCGCATGGTTGGGCTGGGACTCAACCCTTTTATGGAGCAGAAACGGGCGGCATCATTATCCACCCACCAGATTGAACGGCGGTGTTTCAAAAGCGACTGGAATTGCCAGCGTATCAAAACCATCACATACAGCTCAATCTGACAAATTAAGTGGTCACCGACCAGAGTCTTCCACTTGGCCAGCAAGGTCGCCGGCACAGCTCCTTGACAGACTAGCCCCTCTCCGGTAGCCATATCCAAAATGACTGCTCCAATACCCGCATGCTCGGCTTCCCAACAACCATCAGTGAAAATCAAAACAGGGCGAACTTCCTGAGCAGCATCGATTCGGCGGGGCGAGGCAGTCTGCAACATACGTATGGCATACTCACAAAAAGATGCCACTTGTCCCGCCCCTTTCGGAACCGAACTGTTACTCAAGGCCATAGCCTCTGCACAAACTAGGTGAAGGTATTTCCCACTGAAGAAACCGCAAGCATACCGCATCAACCCATGGAGGATCTGCCCCTGATGGCGAGAGAGCGTTCCCTCTTTCTGGATTTGCCTGAGCAGCGCCACCAGCCTGTCAATGCGGCCAGGTTTGTTTTCCAAGGTAATGGCCCCTTGGCAAATATCACCAAGGTTCAAAGAGCATCCCAAAACCTGGAAGCAGGGCTGGAAAGGGCAGCCCTTCGTTCCAGTCTTTGCATGTTTCCATCCAAGAAGGTCCAGCAGTTGGCTGGCCGAGTTGTCGGCGTCCTCCGCCAAAGGTGCTGGAGAAAACATTGGGAAATCATCATAGAATACTCCGCAAGGAATTACCAAAAGTTTGTTCATGAGGTACCACAGGCTGCGGGACACTCGATTGAAGCTGTAAACTGCAGCTGTTGAACCAAACATCATCGAGTTTGCGACAAAGTATTTCGGTGCCCCGCTCTGGTCGTGAAAGAAGATTACTGCCAGGTGGCGGTTGGAGGGATGGATGGCCATCTGTTTATAGGCCTTGCTAAGATCCAGACACTTGCCCCACCAGGGCTCTGCACCAGGTCCAGAGGGCCCAGCTGAGATCCGCCTGGCTATGGCCAGAGCCAACCCAGTGATGTAGTCAACATCCTGAAGTTTCAAGTAGGCCGTCACCGAATACGCATGGTTCAGTTGCGCCTCCAAACAATCGTCAATTGGACGGAGTTTTAACTCGGCCCCCTGCACCAAGACAAAGCGGCGCACCACACACCAGTCGCTTCTACCAAGATGGGCCGTAACGGCCTCCTCATCTAGAAAAGGCCCTTCCACAAATCCAAGCTGTAGCTCTTCAGCCGCAGTAGCTTCAAGATGAGCTATATGCTCAGGGTCAGCCGGTGTAGCCTTCCCCACAATCGCACGGCGGCGCCAGACCGAAGAAGCCTCCAGGTCCTCAGCCACCATGGACGCAGGTTTCAGCATGGCTGGATAACAGGGTGGTGTATCGTGTTTACCCACTAGCTTGACTCCTTCCATCATGAAGGGTATCACACCCATTTCATCGTAGCCATAGCGCTCAAGCAAAGACTTCCAAAGCAGCAGTTTCTTTCCCTCAAGAACCTTAGCCAAAGGTGGAGGCAGCGCCTCATGCAACGCCTGCTCTTCGTCGGCCAAACGAGCAGCCATCAACTTGGCCTGTAAAAGATTCTTCCGTCTTTCCAGTTTGACAACATGTCCAGGGTAACGGAAGTTAAAATCAAGTGCAAGCTTAGTGATGTGCTCCAAGTGGTCTGTGGTGTCCATTGGGTGAAGAACATGCTTGGCTCTGGACAAAAATTGCTCAGGTGTATGAAAAATACCATACTTGACCTGTGTTGCTAACTTTGTCGCTGCAGGCCTCTCCAGTCCCTCCTCGAGCTCTCCTTCCCCATTAAAATGAGGAGGAAGTTGTTTGGCATTCTCCGGGGGTTTTGCAGCAGTATCCAAAGAAACAATTCGATAATATTCTGGAACCAGTGGACGATGTTTCTTGGTTTGTTTCCCCTGGGCTGCTGTAGACAAGTCGCGCAGTCGCAAAGGTTTGGACACTGAAAAACCCCTTGCTGTAAAATATCTTACCAGGCACTCCACCGCTCGTTGCGCTAGCAAGTGTGGGTAATGGGCTTCTGTCGAAGTATCAAACACCCAAGATCCTGATTGCCATCGCACGCCCCACTGTTCGTGGGCATGGTCATTGTTGCAAGCGGCTGACAAGGCATCGAACACCCCCGGCGTTGAGAGCCAAGCGGTATGTTTCCTTCGTGTAGTAGATCCATGGCAACAGGCATGAAAATAAACAAACTGTAAATAGTTGAGGGCAGTCGCCGCTTCTGTGGAGTGTTCCCTTGCAAGTTTTACCAAAACTGCCCACAACCAACTGTTTGCCGGATTCTCAATGCTGATTACCACCTTATGGCGGTGACACCACAAAATGATCTCGATGGCCAGGGCATACAAACAGTTGGCGCTATCAATGCGCCTTTGATGATGATGCGCAAGACCAGGAATCCCCAAAGGAAACTCAGCTGAACGTAGGGGAGGTGGCTCTGGAACACCTGCCAGCCGCATTTCTCTAGGAAT